AGGAACCTGATAAAAATATACACAGTAAGGTGTAGAGAAGGAAGTGTGGGTAGATTCTGCTGAGAGTAGGAGACTGTCAATGAAAACTGAAAGATGAGAAGTTAAAAATTGATGGTAAGACATAGCAAATTCCACAGTACAATTCTGAGGACAAGAAGTCATTGAGGACTGGCATTTATACAGATATTAAAATTATTATACTTATTTAAACGTCAGAACCTAAGTCCATTTCTACCTACAAAAGAGGTACATTCTGGAGGATAGATTCCCTATTACTCCACAGCATTGACTACTCTGATAATAGGGTACAGGATCCATATGGCAAATCCTACAGCTACAGGTTCACTATCTGAATATGAAAGTACTGAGAATGGCTGCCACCTGGAAAGGAACTTGTAAAAGAAGTGCAGTGGGTATTTGATGCTTATAAAAAAAGATGGCTTGGTGTGAAGGTTAAGGAGTTAATTAGTACAGGGTGTGTCTACATGTGCATTTGTGGTATTGTCCTTCGTGGGTGAAGACAACCGCATCCAGGTTAGGGGGGTAGAGAAGAAAGTAAAAGTGGACGAGAAAAAGGTAGGGAGAATGGAGGAAAAAGGAGAAAAGAAAAAGAAAAGAAGGGGGAGGGTGGCTAGGTCATATGGGTTTTTCATAGGTGACCTATAAACTCGAACTTTGCCTTGAACAACCTGCTGCATCAGGGGCAGAAAAGCAATGAGGACTAAATATGGGAGGTTTTCATTTTCCTGGCCATGCATTTCTTCATTGCTTCGGCCATGCATTTCTTCATTGCTTCTGCCGTGCATTGCTGTTTGAAGGCCAGTGCTCTGTTCTGGATTGATGACCTCCAGGATGGATGGTCATGAGCGATTTGCTCCCATGATTCTGGGTCAATGCCAAAACACTTTAGGGATACCTTGTACTATAGAAGAAATTCTTTGGGAGGTGAGTGTCGGGCATTCTTGAAAGGTAGCTGTCCCATCTTAGCTATGCCAGTTTCAGTAGAGTGTGAATACTGGGGAGAGATGATCTTCTGAGCACCTCAGTGTCTGGGATTGTGTCCTACCACTTGATCTTTAGTATTTTTCACAGGCAGCACAGGTGGAAGTGTTTTAGTTTCCTGGCATGACGCTGGTAGAAGATCCAGGTTTCGCAGGCATATAGGAGGGTGGGGTGAATGATGGCTTTTTAAGCCTTCAGTTTTGTCAGCATTCCGATGTCTCTGTGGTCCCAGACTCGCTTACAGAGTCTGCCGAAGGCCACACTGGCTTTTGCTAGTCCCACATTGAGTTTGTAGTTGATGTAGACAGCACGGGAAAGTGTGTTGCCTAGATGGAGAAACTTGTCAACCATCGACAGTTGTTGATCTTTAACTGAGACGTGGTTCCTGGGAGGTTGTGCCAGGCACAGGTCACTTCAGTCTTCTTCATGTTGATAGTGAGTTTGAGGTTGTTGCAGGCTGATGAGAGTAGATCCATGAATCATTGCACGTCAGCCTGTAAGTCTGTGCATAACACACAGTCATCAGCAAAGAGAAACTCGCAAAGCATTTAAGTGTGACTAAATTTAATGCCCATTAGCTAATGTGCATTAAGCAATTTTTGGTAGGTGTCTAGACGTGCACCTGTAATGTGCATCTTGTATAGATGCGCTCACAGTCCAGTGATGTATTTGTGCAATGCAAATCCGAAAGTTGATATAGCCAGGAGTTCAGCTGTTTCTGTTGGACATGGATGCCAATATTGTGTTCCAATGCATGCTGAAGATGGGGGCTTTTCAATAACAATAGCCATGAGAATAACAACAGTAATCTCCCATTTAATGGAAAAACAGATTGTCTTGATGGTAAAAAGACATGTGGCTTAAGAAAGAGATCAACAGTGGCATAACAATCAAAATAATCTTTGGATAGAGACGCTTTAGTGGACATTGGGCTTTTCCACTTGATAGTAAATATTGGTCACTTGAAAACAAAAGGTTAATAGAAGCAACACCTTTCCCCTAGGAAAACTTCTTAAAATGTCAATGTTTCCTCAGTAGTTGTCACAGGAATACATGCTCTGAAATAAGGGGTAAAGTGAGGAAAGACATGCAGCCACTGGCTGATTTGTTATCGGAGGAATTAAAGTAGCCAAATAAGCCAGTATTTAGGCTCACAAGCTGGAGAAAGAAACAGAGAAATTCCATGCAGAGGTAGGACACATCTTAACCCTTTCCACGGCACTTGGTAGATGTGGTATTAAGCAGCTGAGGCCTTCCTGGCTCTGGCACCCTAGGATGGAAGAGGGCAAACCCTTGCCTTATGATCCCTCCTTTTGTATTTATTTTCCCTTTCCTCTAATACTTCTGTCTAGATTGTGCTTGTCAAGGCAGGTACTTGGTAACTGTTTTCATACTACTTTTGTACTACCTTTGCATTTATGAAGTATAGAATAGGAGATATAGGGGAATGAGGTATGCCACAAAATAGGCTAAACAAGTAATTACAAGAAAAATGAATACAAAATAGTTTCATACAGTAAGAAAGTTTAAATTTTATTCTCTCCCTAGTTCATTAATGAAAATATTTTGGTCAGGCAAAAAAATTATGGCTCTCAGTAGAGCTTCAAGATGAATTACATGAATCATGGTCAAAGATTACACATTAGAGCTTCAATGATGGGGATATTATTTCTTAATTAAAGTAGTCCAGTATAGAAGGAAAAGGGAGATAGGATGATCTTGTTAATTGGGTCATTTGCTGAACCTTTCAAATCTTTGAACAAGATTAGGAAAAGAACTAATAAATGGATGACTTACCTGCCTCAGGAACCACTTTAATTAAAAAAAATATATATATATTAAAGCTGAACTTTTTCATTCCCTGTTGTTTTGTCATGAAGCAACTTCAGGTGTTTTGAATTGTCTTTCAGATAAACTGTTGCTGTGGAGCATATGCCACTTATAAATTACACTTCCATACCCTGTTTTACATTCACTCCAGTCTTCGTTCACCCTTTCATCAATAAAAACCTATTTTTGAAAATGATTTGACATTGTAGTAATACTTAAAATGTTGCTCCTCTATATTAGTTTGTTGAGGATTAATTTTTTTCTCTCCACAAGACTATTCAAGTAATACTATATAGATGTTCTCAAACAGGGAAAATACCGCCTCTACATGTGCAGATAAAATTAAATAGTCATTGGCCACCTTAGTGAGAGTTAATGGCGTCTTTGACTTAGTCCAAACTGAGGGATCATATTATTAGTAATAGATGTCTGTAATTGCTTGATAACATCACATTCCAATCAGAGGACCTGATTCTATGAAACGCAATGACAATTGCAGAACAACTTTATACTCCATTGAAATAAAAAACTTGATGCTGATCTGAGGGCTCTCAAAAAACTGACGAAAGACACAGGAACTGGCTTAATCTGAGATGAGAGTGCTTTGCTCTTCTCAAGAGGAACTCTGCATCTCTCAAAGACAATACTAAAGACATTAAAAATAATTGTCCCTGGGTTTCAATTAGATGAAAAGTAAAAAGCAAACTCAGTCTGACATCTTATGACTTTGTATGTGAGGCTTAAAGCCTGAAAGGCAGGAGATGAATTGGAAAATCTGAAAAGCCTTCAAAAACTTAATTTTTTATATCAGCATGTATAGCACTTTTCAGGATTTTACTTGTAAACCTTTGAAGTAAGAATTCAAAGGACTGGCCAGTATTTTATCCAATCTTTGTTGCGCAATGTTTCATAGCTTATCTGCTTTAGAGCTTTTATCTTGGCCTATTGTCACCACCTATTCACAAAGAATATTCTTTTCCTTTACAATTCTTTACTTGGACTAGTTGGGTTAAATTATCAGCATCATGTACAGAAAATTAGGCATTCAAATTCAGTTAAACATAATAGGAGCAGCATGCTTAATTTGCAGTGAACATTTACAGCAGCCATCTGTGCTGAAGGAGTTCAGTGATTAAAAACTGAATGTGTAAAAGTGAAGGTCCTAGCAGATGTAGTGTGGATGAGAAAATGGGAATCAGACAGATACTTTTCATCAAAGTTGTCCAGAGTTGTGGTGTTAGTACTGTTTGTCTTGTGACCATATGTTTCAAACAAAGTCATATGAGACCTAGTTCTTTTCTGCTCCAAACTATATATCAGGAAAACTTAAGTTGACATCATTAGGGCTCTACATTTATACTATCAAGAGAAGAGCAAACTTTGACATGTTACTTTCCAAGGTTCTGCTGTAAATTGACATCAGTGTTCAACAGGTCAGAAAACTTGGTGTTCCCCCCACCTCCCCCCCCCAAATTTATTCCTTTTGAAAGTCCTTCATCAGGATATTCTGGGTTTTGGTCACCAAAAAAATGAATAAATAAATAATCATAATAAAAATAATAGAGTTAAAATAGAATATTTTGTTAATATTTGAAATGTAAATTCTATTTGCAATCCTTTGGTATATTCCTGTCAGAAAATAAAAAAAAGGGGTAACATTTTACTGTAGATAAATTTTAATTTTATAAATGTATTCCTTTCTTACAGGGATAAATGTGTCTATGCTTGCTCATTCTTTGATCAATAGCTACATAGCTTTACATAAAGATATCTTTGTAGTTCATAATATATCTTATTAAACTTTAGTAAATGTTTGTTTTGTGAGAAACTTCTCTATACTATAAAACCAGGTGATCAGGGCTTGGCCTGGTTAAAGCTACATTCATGGTACCCCAGTACCTTCCCTGCCCTGACCATTGGTTTCTCAGTCACTTGCCTGCACTCCACATCAGTCCCATTTGTCTGCCACGTCTTGATGTACTTGTGATAATATCAATTGGGAGATGCTAATTTCCACCACTGCTGGACAACAGTAACCCAGTTTGGGGTTTCTTCTGGGGCTCCAACCTCCCCTACACCCCATCCTAGTGCCACCCAGATGTTACATTGTCACTTGCGCATGTAGGTCTTAATGGGTAATCTGTCTTTTTCTTTCTTTTCTTATGTAGGTTCTCGAGCATCTCAGTAGTCATTTCAACAGAACCAAATTAACAGTGACTACTGGACTTCTTCTCAGCCTCAGATAAGTTCTGTGGTTTGTCTTGAGAGGGCTTTCTGCCCTGCTGTCTCCAAGGGTTGCACAACCTCTAATATTGCAAAACAAAACCAAGGAGTCCAAAAGGAAAACCAAACCTGATCCAGGACTTACACACCCTTGCCTAGGTGTTAATTGACTTGACTTGTTAATTTCCCTCTTCTGTCTATAGGGGTGGAGGTTCAGCCAATCTGGCCTCCTTACCCTGTTGGCCTGCTATGGCTATGGCAATCGGCAAGAAAAAAAACAACCCAAAAATGAACTTAAATAGTTAAAATCTTAATTAAGGCCCAGCTGCTTTTCTCCCGGCTGGTCTGTCTCTGGCAGAGCTCTCCTGCCACTTGTGCCACTCCGCTCTGTGGCATCTTTGCTGCTGGCATCTCCTGGCCTAATCGAGTTTTCCTGAGCTCACTTGCCAGCTGCCTGTCGGCTTTCTGCTGCTGGGGAAGTCCTGCCTGACATCACGGGTTCCAGGACACAGCTCCCCCCCCTCCAGCTCTCCACACTCCCCATGCTCTTCTCTCTCATGTGCTGTCCATCCACTGCTCTTGGGCTACTTTAGCTGAATGGAGCAGCTGCTCTAGAACTGTGGCTCTCAGGACATTCTCCTCTCTTTTGGTGCTGTCTTTTCTCCCTTCACTGGCTCATCCTCACCTATGATAAGTGTCATTTTTCTTTCCTGTTCTCCTTTACACAGCTGTTCTTCTCAGAGGTGTAACAGTGCAGCTGGGCACCTGGGGCAGCTGCCACACACAGGTGCAGGAATGATTTCCAGTCCAATGTAACTGTGTGGCTGTGCTGGCAGCCATTTATTTTGCCCCTTCCCCTGTTAAGTTGGTCTGGGGATGGCTGTCCCAATTGCCCCACCTTTGGCTTTTGACATTCTCATCCTGACTAGTTATGAAAACTAAGCTTCAAATGTGTCAATTCAGCAGTTTTTCCTTTAAATGCAAACATGTGTGAAATACACTGTTTCTGGGCCATTTTTATATTGATGAATTCTGGACAGCAATTTTAAACTGCCTTACCAAATGTTAGGGAACTCAGAAAACATGCCTCACAGAAGCCTTAAAGCAAAGATGGGGAATGGGAAAGACAACTTTCTACAGAAAGGAAGAAGTCTAACTATGATACAGTTTTTATTTGAGTGGTAACTAATTAGTTTTATGACTGCATCTAAACACCGTTTGCCTTTGTGTACTGCATAGGAGATACACAAGTGCTAACAGTGCAGGGGGGCACACCTCCATACTGCCACCACTCTCACTGCTGCTGGGCTCTGGCTCTGGCCAGGCTACAACCCCATGCCCTGATGTTGGTGCAGAAATTTGGGGGGGTGGGGGGCATGTACCTCCCTCATACTGCCCCCCCAACATCGCATTGCCTGTGGTGTACTATATCATCTTTCTGGGTTCAGTCCTGAGTCCTTTTGCCCACCCATAAATGGAATGAAAGGGAGGATAACATGCCTTGTCATGGTTGCTTGACCCATGTTGCCAAAGGAGGTGAGAGAGGTAGAATAGCAGTTGCTCTGCTACTTCTTCACAGGAGCAAGGGAGAAGCTTGAATCAGATTGTGGTTCTGAGAGTCCATGTCTGGTTTCCTTCCTGCTCTATGTACTGTATGCACTGTATCTGATGAAGCTTTGTACCCCCACATCAGTCCTGCCCCCCATCAGTCCTGCCCCCATCAGCAAATGTTACATCCATAGGTACTTTTAGTTTATACTTTAGATAGTTGAATATTTAAAGAGTTTGGATAAAGTATGACTGAGATTTTGGAGAAGAATATTTTATTTAATTTGATGAGCATTAATTACCTCACAAGTAGGGCATCCATTGGGAAAGTAATGTGTCTGGAGTTTGAAGAATCTCCATGCTCAATAAAATGTGAACCTTTTTAAATTGGGTATATCTTTTGCATATTATACCTAAGTTCAAGCAGCTAGAAAAGCTAAACAGTCTTCAGAGGGAAAAATTAAATGGGCTATAACATAGAAATTACCCCGAAAATGTGACCAGTATGCACAAATGCCACAGGAATGTGGCAATATGGGGTTAAATAAAATAACGTGGGTATTATCTTAATTAATGTTTCAATTCTTACTTTATCCAGTTATGGATTTCAGGTTTAGATTATGGGTTACTAGAGCCTCCTGTATTTTTTCTATTGCTTCTCTACCACATCAATTTCCTTTTGATTTTTGCTTAATTATCTGCTAGATTACAGTTTATAGACATATTTATAGTGTGTGTTTTTAAAAATTGAGTTTGTCCACTATGGTATGTAGGTTCTTTTTTGGTTTCTACAGGCCTAGCACTTGCTGATGACCAGAAGATGGAAAAGATGTGAACACTCTTCTATGTACAAGACAAATAGGATAAACAGAAATATCCCAGCCCCTAACCCTACCATACTTTATATCAGATCAAATGGTTGCCTGCAGCAGCAGCAATTCGATAATGGTCTTCATGCAGTTACTACAGAACTCATTACTCTGGGCAAATTGCTTTATATACTATAATGTGCTATGTTGGAGTCTAAAGGGACATGGACCCCAAACAGTGCTTAATACGGACCATAAAATATTTAGAGCTTGATACATTACTTTTAAAATGCTTAGGAATGTAAAACTTTATCCAAAAGGAAGAGAGGAGGAAAAATCATTCTGCATCCATTAAGGCAGTGATTTAATAGAGTTTTTCAGTACAACGTATTTACTCTGTGATAATTAATTACCTCCAGCAAATTAAAATATAAATTAGGTTGTCTAGGGAAAAAAGGATGCTCTAAATCAATTGGTTCTAGTTGCACATAAATACAAATTTTACAGTTGTGTTTTCCTAATGTCAAATATAACACATCATGGCAGAACCTTAATAGTAAGAGCTTCTGTGTTTCTTGACCTATCAGCTATGTTAATTTGATTTTTTTTCTCACTCAGCAGAACAAATGTAACCTTTCTTTAAAACTTCCTTATGACTCTTCATTACTTATAATAGATATGCACCTAATTAGCTTATTACTAGTTTACTCCCCAAACAATTCAAAACCTGTTCATGACAAGAAATGCAGATGCAAAACCTCACAGATTTCTCTTTTCTCCTCTTTCTATTTTCACATGAATTGGAAATTTCATTTTAATTAAAAGTATAGATAATTATTTCCAAAAAAGTGTTGTCTGATAAATAGTATGACCAATAGTATAGTAGTCGGACCAATCGGATAGGTTCTCAGTATATCCTAACTAATATGACAACATTCTATGAAATGACTATACAAGGGCAGATAATCCTTTAAAATTCTCTGTAAAAAAAGTCCTAGATTACAATGCATCTGTTGTATTCCTCCTGCACTTGCTCTGCCAATGAGACAGAGAACAGAACAGAAAGCCAGACAGGTGATCAGTTTTCACTCTAACTTACAAGACTGCTTTCAGAGTTTTTCCTAGGCTGACTGTGCTCAATGAAATTAAGAGTTTTAAAGTGTTTTGTAGGGTTTGCTGATGTCAGAAAATATAGCTAAGAATATCTAACCTAGTAGCAGCTATTAGGGGGGGAAAAGCTGCCAATTTTTAAAGCTAAATTTTGATCATTATGCAACTGTTTCACTTGACAGCTACATATAGGATGTAGTTCACATCTGTGCTCAGGTGAATAGTACTGTAGTAGGGACCCAGAGCAGACATGATTGATACCATTAGTTTGTGCCTGTATTCTAGATGGCAGCATTTGTTCTTCTTATGCAGTAAGTAAAAATATCCTATATAGAGACTTGGGGAATTTATCTCTATGTTACTGAAATTCTGTTTGAGGTAATGAACTTTATATCCATCTTTAGCAAGTTGCAAACTTCATTGTAAATATGTAGCTTGTTTAACTTTGCAATTTTTTTATCTCTGTGTTGAGCTGGAATTTCAAGGGAGGGTAGTGGTAAATGGCTAACGATAGAGAGGCATTAAATTGGGATAATCTACTATTTAGTTGAAAGGACACTACACAAAAGTTTGATTTACAATATTTTAATTGTTTTCCCCTTTTGATATGTAGTACCATTTTAAAGTGATAGAAGGGTAGTACTTTTATATTATACATAATTGCATTTCTGTAGACCAGTAGTTACCAACCTGGGGATCCTGGTTGACAGGTAGATCCCAGAGCCTCTTTGGGTCGATCCTGGGCTGAGGTACAGCTGGGCACGTGTGCATGTGCACACCTGCTGCCCCCAGCCCCAGCAGGTCAATCTGTGGGGGAAGAAAGGGTCAGAGGCCAGATTGAGGTGCCTGCAGTGAGCAACTGACCATGTGGCCCAGCCAGGAGCAGAAGAAGGTAAGTGGGGCCAAAGGCCAGCTGGATGGTGGGAAGATTGGAGCCCGGGGGACTCCTCTACGGGCACAGGGGGGCTCCCTCCCCATCTCTACGGAGGCAGAGGTAGCAGAGGTGGCTGCTGCTGTACCTCAAGTCCCCCTGTAGCTGGTCACATGTGGGCATGGCTCAGCTTAGCAGCAGCGACTCACGTGGGGGTGGCCCCAGCCCAGCTGAATCTGGGAAATTCTGGTTGTCCAGAGGCGCATGACAGAGGTCCTGGGGGTGCATTCCCTTCCCCACCACTGGGGCCTCTGTTGGGCTGTGCCTAGAGGTGGGAGCTCCACCCCCGCCATGCCTGCCTGGACCATGGAGACTCCCAGACCCAGCTGGGCCAGGGCCTGATGCCACATTTGTCTGGTTGCTGGGTAGGCATGGCTCAGCACAGCCATGATACAAATGGGATTGGGCACTGGCCTGGCTGGGTTTGGGACACTCCTCGATTCATGGGGGTGGGGAGGCAAGTCGGGAGGTAGGGGGCTGGGGAGTAGGGTGTGCAGCAGGCACTAGGGGGCGGTAGATCTTGGGGTGCCCTTTACTACTAAAAAGTGATCTTTACCATAAAAAGGTTGGAGACCACTGCTGTAGACAGATAAATTCTGGCTATAAATGAAACAAAA